GACCAAGTACGCTCAAAGCCTCAGTTCACCCCTGGAATTCTTCACTCTGTGGGCCAGTACATTCCCTTTTAAAGTTTATTAGAGGCAGGTTTTTTTGTTCTCTACCACCAAAAAATATCCTAAATGATACCTTTGGATACAGTTTCCTGAATGATGGGGGCCTTGGAGAAGAATTTGAAAAGAGAAGAGAATCATTTCTTTCACCAAGATTTTTGTATTTATAGACAGTTCTGTAAGGAAAAGATAGCTTTTCATACTTCCTCTTTTAGTTAAACGATCATTTGTACGATTTCTGGTTGCTTGACCTCTCAAACAGTACTCAGTGAGATGCTGACCCATTTAACCCTTGGCTCCTGACTCTTGTTAGTAAACTTCCTTGGAAGCCCCAAGGAAGGCCTGTCATAGTAGACCTGCAGTCAGAGACTGGCTCCAACATTATTGGGCAAGAGCCACCATCTTCTTGCCGGAATACAGCCACATGACATCCAAGGATGTTTTCCCAGGCCGCATCACTGCTGCTCAATCCAAATTCACCCACTTTCTGGGGAGCTGGTCCGAGCCTGCACTGAACATGTGCTCTTGGATGGGAACTTGGTCTGCGTAGGCTCCACTTTAACTTACTCGTAGGAAGCTACTTCATGTACAGTTGTGTCACTCAGTGTCAGGGACATCTTCTAAGCTATGCAAAATTAGGTGATGTCATCATTGCTCGAGCTTCATAGAGTGTGTTCCCTCCAACCCAGGTGTGCAGGCCAGCCATTCCACGTCACCACTTGACATAGGAGAAAAGTAAGCATAGATGGACAAGGGTCCTGCCAGCATAACACAGTGCTGTTTTTAACAAGTAGGAAGAATGTACTCTACAATAACAACAAAAGTCTCGAGTAATAAATGAACCTGTCATGTACTCATTTACTATCAGTATCAAGTATCACATGCTGTACATAATTGTATTGCTGTATTTTTATACAACGGGGAACACATGAGGTTTGTTTGCACCAGCATCACCACAAACAGGTGGGCGATGTGCTGTGCCATGAGGTTGAAAGGGCTACAATATCACTAGCCGGTAGGAATTTTTCAGCTCCGTTAGAATCTGATGGGACCACTGCTGTGTGTGTGGTCCATGCTGATAGAAATGTTGTTATGCGATGTACAACTGTATTTTGGACATTTTGTGCACAATTCCTTAAGTCTACAAAATGCTAAGGGTCAGGGCATTTCATCACTGTCCTGATAAACTCCAGGTGCCCAGAAGGATCAGCAAGGTGTGAGCGCCACAGCACGAGCGTTCAGTATAGAGAGTGGGGAAGACCTGTGAGCACCGCCTTCCCAGTGGAGGCGGGAGCAGAGGCCTCTGACTCCCAACATTCCCAGCCCCTAATTTTTCTTTGTCCTTATGTTAATTTCCCCCAAGATTTGGGGAATCAGGACAGATAAATGCCTCCTCTGAAATGGAAATTATTTAAAAATCAATGCAGAATGACTTCCTCTGGGGGTCTGCAGCTGATAGTGTCAGGGCTTGTGCCAAACCAAACCAAGTTTACTGGAGTGTCCCCGTCTATTCTAAATGAAATCCGAGCCAGATCAATTGCACGATTATTTGATTTTCTGGTGTGATGTAATTATCACATTTTGGAAAAAGATCTTTAAAAGAATTGAGAGAGTTGACATCTGCTAGCTTTTATACAGCCCAGCACACCTAGGGATCTGCAGGGTAGAGAACGCATGGAGCAATGTCTTCTCTGTGACTGTCCAGCCACCACGGCCCCCAGCCCTGATCTTCTACAATCTTATGATCTCATGGAATTAGATGCCGGAGTGAGTGGAAATCATCAGACAGATTCAATGAGGGGTCCAGACAGATACCAGTGGAATCGCAGCAGCAGGCCAATTTGAGGTACCAGAGACAGAAATGCCTTCCTTAATCCAGGATAGGCCAGCTCAGTTTAGCTGAAGCAAAACTCTCGGGAAGAAAGAAAATCATGGTGAGGCTGTAAAATTGACACCAAGATGAGATTTAACCAATTATTTGTAGAATGGGGACTGGGAGGGGTGGAGGTGTGTGTTTGTAGGAGGTGCCTGAGATCCAGTCCCTTTATACCAGCCCCGCCAGAGCAAGACATCCCACAACACTTTAGCCCAGTGAGTTCCATGACCACCAGCTCAAAGCCAGGGGAAGTGTGCTTTGGAACCCTCAGCTGGGCTGCAGGGCGGGCCAAGCACACACAAGACTGCACCTGTCCTGGATCACCTTCCCAAGCCCTGGGGACCCCATGCCATGGGTCCAAGGCTGTCCCTTCTTGCTGCCTGCGTAATAAAGGTGCTTGGGGGCTGGGGATGTGGCTCAAGCAGTAGCGCACTCACCTGGCATGCGTGCGGCCAGGGTTTGATCCTCAGCACCACATACCAACAAAGATGTTGTGTCCGCCGAGAACTAAAAAATAAATATTAAAAAAATTTAACAACAACAAAAAAATAATAAAGGTGCTTGGCTTCACTTTGCCATGGTTTTATTGATTTATTGCAGTGTGGGGATCCAACATTGGGCTGGCATATGCCAGGCAGTGCCTCTTCCACTGAGCTCCACCCTGCCCTTGCCACTGTACTCTTGCATGAGAGTGGATATGGGGGTGTGCCATGGGCGAGGTATTAGAGCCCTCCTCTAGGCTTATAGTGGTGCATGGTGAGCCTGGGCGACAATCTGCCCTCATTTCTGGTAGTAGCCCAATTAGAGTGACACTTTTTGATGACACATTACACATAATTGGAAAAATGTTCTTGTCTTGACATCATGGGACTGGCCAGATGCTTCTTATAAGCCTGAAAAGACTCAGGTGCTGTGCTGGGGTCAGGAACACAAAGAAACATAGTCCCCTGGAGAAGACAGTGTCAA